CCCCCCCCACACCCTACCCCTGCTGCCACCACGCCCTATCCCTGCCCCCCACATCCTACCCCTGCTGCCACCACGCCCTATCCCTGCCCCCCCCACATCCTACCCCTGCTGCCACCACGCCCTATCCCTTATTATCTTTATCTGCATGACTTGACCAATGTGTCACCACTGTGAAGAGCTTGAAATGAGTGAGTATAGAGGGTAGGGAATACCTTTTGCGTTCCGCATGATTGGCCTTATTTTTTAAGCGTGATGCCTTATTTGAGCCCAATATTCTGTGTGAAATGTGATTCAGGAATTCTTGGTGATTGGCATGAATATATCTTCATGATTGGTGATTGAGCTGTTTTAATTCTTGGTGATTGGTGATTAAGGGGGGTATACCCTACCTCAATATAACTTCCAAGTCTTTCGTCCTCAGCTTGTATCCCTGTGGGAGTTAAGGTTGAGAATATGCCTGATTCTTTTTTTTTAATTAAAATAATTCATGTCTCATTTTTCAAAAAAACTTTAATGTACATGTAGTCTGATATACAAATATGATCATCTATCATTAGAGAAACATTGATTTTTACTTTTTCTCTGGATTAAAAAGAGTAGAAAAAAAGGTATATTTAAATCAATTTTATTTCAAATCATGTTTCTTTTCAAGTAATCCCCCCCCCCCCCCAACCCACATGAATGTGATAACTGCTATTTTATTTCTCCCTCTGAAACTATTCACCTTTTCACAGCCTACATAAACAGCTGATTGGAAAGTAATGTGAGGATAGCACAGGGGGTAGACTTGTACCAGCAGTTGCAAGGACACAAGCAAATTTCTAAATACTTGTTACCATATTCCATGTGCAAGGTTGCAAAATTGATATACTGGTAAATATACCCTGTGCACTTTTGACAGCTGGTTCTGATTGCTTCCAGGTTTTATTTCCTTGTTAAAATATCAATGATCCATCTAATTGAGAAATCTAAAGAACCATACCATTGGCCAAGAACACATTTCCATCCCCTCCACGATTTTTCATCAGGCTCTTTGAAATTTACCCTACATACTAGCCATACAACAGCAGAAAATAAAAATCAAATGCTTCTAAGTTTTATGAAGTGCCTCATTAATTTCTTAAAAGTGAAATAGTGAAAACAAAAAAAAAAAAAAAAAAAAAAAAAAAAAAAAAACTTCAGT